GTGATATTTTACAACTCGATAAATGTATATAAACATAAATGTAATGCGAAAAATCTTGGCCGAATCAGTATTTCATTTTTCAGCTTATTTATGTATCAAGCAAATATAATGGAGACTGAGAAAACCAACTCTGTCATGATCTGCAGATCCACAAAATAGCGTGTAATTCGTATCAGCGATTCTCCGACGAGCTATTTCTTCGTGTTGCTCTTGATTAAGATAAGATAGAACAGTTCGGGGACAGATGGAACAGTCAGGGCGACGACCTCGAAGCTGGATGGACCGAGTAAGGTTGCGGCCAACGTCAAGTACAAAAAGGCGACCAGCGTGGACTTCTTTAGGCGAATGAAGAAAGGGTTGCAAAAGGAATCTGGTAAATATATATATATATATACCACCTTATTTTGCATTCTGTAAGCTATCGATAACTTGACAGTTAAAATCATTCGTTCTTTTCAGACAGGATCTTATAAAGAAAGATTTTGTAGGTGATAGATAAAGCTATAAAAGATCTAAATTGCATCGACGATTACATTTTTTGGAGCAAGCTATATAAATTCGGTGATTAAGTTATATATTATAGGAATGTATATTCTTACGATAGCTGTCTAATTTCAACAAACTGGACAGCTTTTAATACCGAGTGTTTAAATACCTTGGTTAAACAGAAATTACATATCATTTAGGTTTAAGATAACCGGCAGTTATAGCGATCTAAACAAGAAAAAAAATTTAATTAACTACTATAAACATAAAGGCACACGAAGTTGCTTATCGCCTAAGAAATGCGCAAATATGGAGGAGTGGTAATGCGAAACCATTCGCCGAAATGCAGCCAATACAAGGTGCTAAAGATAAAAAGTGGCCTTTATAACTATTATTCAAACAGCTTCGAAGATGAACTTACTTCCTACTCCCGTAATGATTTTTATCACTTCAGCCGCTTGCATTGTGCCAATTATTCCAGGGACTATAAAAAAAGAGGCAATTTAATAAGTCCAGATAGCCAAAATATTGTATATATATTTTCATCTGCAGACAAGCTAATAACATAAGCAATCGTATTATCTTATAAATTAAACAACATATCAAGTATAAAATAAGCATATTTCGTCGTAAAGTTATGGGTCTGAGTCAATAAAAAGTGAACACATCACTAGACTTTAAAAGTAGGTCTAGCTAATGTAGGATAAAATAATTATCCATAATTCGGCCTAGGAACCATGAAAAAGGAGCGTTTTTTTGACGATACTAGAATGATTTCGTTGAACTATAAAAACCACACTAGCTCAGATTCCATAACGAACCAGAATTGTAACCCTGAAAAATTTACTGCTTAGAAAAGATACCGATATCTTTTAAACTGAGAAAAAACAATCTTCGATTGTTTGGATTGTTTTAGTAATCTTATTTTTCAGAAGGGCTTCTGGGCCGTTGTTTAAAATCAGCTCACAGTTCGTAGATTCAATCGTTTCACAATTTTACTGTGATCTGAGTTCATCTTTAAATAGCTTTTTAGATTGATAATACGTGGCCCAATACTTGTTGGCCAGATCCCTCGTTTATCCATAAATAGCCTGCATTATTCCCTAAAATATTTCAGTAGGATGAGAGGAATTGAGCTAAGCTCCACTTTTAGCATTTGATATATATTTGTAAGTACATAAGCTTAGCAATACAAAAAACAAAATATCTCAAGCATTTTCACCCCTAATCGTTTTTAGCAAGTAGATATTGTCTTATAAAATCAAGGGATGTATCTTGTCTACTTTGCATTATATACCCTCTCTAGCGCATGCAAGCGAGCAAAGCGAAATTGTAAAAAGCTAATAGTAAACGTAGTTTGCAGTTCTCTAGAACTAATCAATTTTTAGGTGGCAATGGGGGAATCAAGTTGATTACTACGTCAAAGCAAAGGTAAAAGCACTTACCAACACCCAGAACTCCAGCCTCAGAGCAGCCCTCGACAGCACTTGAAGGAGGAGGTTTAGGAAAAAGGCAACGGTAGCAAGGAACCGAGGATGATTCGTCAGTTACAGATTGAATTGTTTCTTGAGTTAATTCATTAGTAATCTGTGATGCCAGAGCAGTCTGCAAAGTCAAAACTTCAGATTTAGGTGTAAGGGTTTCATTAAGGCTGGTAGAAATGAGCCCCGTTTCGTTGTGACTATCCCCAACTCTCATTTTCGTGAGATTACATGGCTGATCTAGTGTGTGCTTGGCTGAGACCTGTGAGTTAGGCTGCTCCCCATGAGAATGTGGTGTATCTGAGGAAGATAGAAAGACTGAAGCTGCAGGAGATCCACACTGTGTGGAAGGGATGGGTAAAGAGGGAATTTTAACTTGTAGTCGAGTTAAGCGGTCGGACACATATACGGTCATTTGGCCCTCAAGGCGAAGAGAACTACCACTGACGAGAGGCCGAGGGGGAGAAGATAGAACACAGGCGTCATTGATCAGGTAACGTGTCGCTACGTTGTCCGTACAATCAACCACGATGTCATAACTGAGTAGGCGGTAAAGAAAAGCATGATAAGATAATAGTTTCACCTATCCTATTTTAATCAATGTGGATGCGCTCATATTGATAAATGAAGTAAAAGAGTTTTGATAAGGGCCCAGAATAATATGCCTATTATAACTAGAGCTTTTCCAAATTGAGAATCGGGAAAATAATTTGTTTACAACTTATTTCTTCATCATTAAAAGGGGACGTTTGCCTTGGCAATATAGAGATGTCAGAAAATAACCACTTTCTTTCTCTAAATGAAGCAAAATTGCATTAGGTCTCAGGAAATTTTTCATTCGTTTGAAAATTCTTGTTAATAGAACGAGTAACGTACTTGCTCACTTCTGCCTAAATATAAGGTTCATTTTGCGATATGTGTCTTCATAATTGTTGGGGATACATTCATTTCGTATGAAAGTGCATGCAACGGGAATCAG